GCAAAAGGTTTAGTCCAGATTTAAGTTCAAAAGTAGTAGCAGCATCTAAAGTAGGAAAAGTTATGCAGAGAGGTTGTTGATTCAAGTTCGAAACTGCAAGCTCCTTCAAAGTTTGATTTCCAGCCATGACTTCCTCTCTTTCTGAATCGGAATCACAAGTAAACAAGGAGATATGAATGAGATTGTGTCCTTCAAAATTCCTCAGAATGTCACTTCTCAACCTGCGTAAAGTTCTTTTAATATCTGGATCAAACTGCAAATCGCATTGGTTAAAGGATCGAGTTATGGGAATGAACAATTAGGGAAGTTATATATATAAACTAAAAAAAACAAAACAAAATAAACAAAATTTTGAAACAAAAACTAATGAAACAAATAAAAAGTACAAAAATAAACTAAACCACTCTCCAGCAATGGCGCCAAAATTTGGTACGTGCTATCGTATGCACTCCAAATAAAAACCTATACTTCCTGATTAATGTAGTAGCGGCAGTAAGGGTTGATCCCACGAAAAGTGATTAATTTACTTTTTATAATAAATTAACTAAAATAGGGGATTTTTAATTCTTGAAATAACACAAATCACCGAGTTAAATATAAGCAATAAAACAAACATTGATCTAAGTCAACATCCACAATTGGAGATTATTAACCAGTCATTGATCCACAAATAATCATCAAGTCATAATTGTAGCATTCATTGGGAAAAATAAATTTCCCATTTGAAACAATTTTCCTATTTTTCCTTATTTTTAATTAACTAGAAATAAGCGATCTAATTAATCCTCATTATCAAAACAATCCTAGACAAGCACGAGAATTTAATTTAGTAATGACTTTGCGAATTAGAGAAATCAATGAACTAGATAAGACAAGCCAAGCGTTTGCATTTAACCTAGATAAATCTTTCCCCTAAGATTTAACAATTTTCAACTAGCAAATTATCAATCCTAATTGCTTCATAAGTTAAACCAATCAACAATTATAGTTTTAAAATTCAACTTAACTATAGATTATTGAGATTAATAAACTAGCGTGCATTCTAGAAATCAAACACAACAATCATAAAAAAAATTGCAGAAGAAGATTTAATACTAAACATATGAATTAATCAATAAAAATCAGGTGGATCTCATAGTTATAATTGTTCCAAAGCTTTCGTCTCCTTCAATAAAAAAAAATATATTAGCTAGAAATCTTCAATTCTAGAGCAAAAAGAGAGAAAATTAGGTTTGGGGGCGTTCTCTCTATTTTGGATGATATTTAGGGCTTTTATATGGTGTACAAGATTTGTTTCCATAAGTATTTAACTCAAATTAGAAAACTAAAAATCAAGTGTCGAAAATGAAATAATACTAAACATATGAATTAATCAATAAAAATCAGGTGGATCTCATAGTTATAATTGTTCCAAAGCTTTCGTCTCCTTCAATAAAAAAAAATATATTAGCTAGAAATCTTCAATTCTAGAGCAAAAAGAGAGAAAATTAGGTTTGGGGGCGTTCTCTCTATTTTGGATGATATTTAGGGCTTTTATATGGTGTACAAGATTTGTTTCCATAAGTATTTAACTCAAATTGGAAAACTAAAAATCAAGTGTCGAATATGCGACCGCATAATTATATGGGTTGCAGTCACATAGAACAATGATTTTCAGCTCTGAAATTCCTTGGAGGTCACTATGCGACCGCATTGATTTTGAACTATGCATCAATCGTTTTCCAGCCAAATATTTTTCAGTATTTTGGTCATAATTTTCTCTCTTAATGTTTGATTGAGGTAATTCAAAGTACGTTTCGAAGATAACTCAAAGAACTACATTTTTGATAGAGGTAGGATTTTCCAAATTCGAACATTTACTTTGCCAAAAATTGGGTTTCAAGTAGAGACTAAAAATCTTGAGCATAACTTTTTCGCCTGAAAGTTGATATGTGATAATACTTTGACTATATTTCACCTCTTTGACTTCTTTCTTCATCCAATTGACCCATAATTTTCTCTCTTAATGTTTGATTGAGGTAATTCAAAGTACGTTTCGAAGATAACTCAAAGAACTACATTTTTGATAGAGGTAGGATTTTCCAAATTCGAACATTTACTTTGCCAAAAATTAGGTTTCAAGTAGAGACTAAAAATCTTGAGCATAACTTTTTCGCCTGAAAGTTGATATGTGATAATACTTTGACTATATTTCACCTCTTTGACTTCTTTCTTCATCCAATTGACCCCAACACTCTTGAATTTTCATTTCATCGCCCGCCTCATCTATGAATTATTTGCAACTTGGTCCTTGAGTTTTCACTTTCTTATATTTTGATCTTTTTTCGCTCGTTTCTTCTAAACTCTATATTTTCCATCCATTTACAACCTAAATAAAAATATAAGGGTACTGAGTACATTTAGGCTTTGATTAATCACAAAAATGCAAGTATTAATGGATGTAAAACATGATATGTTATGTCCTATCAGCCTTTACCTTTTGAGCCAAAGCTTCAGCAGACAATATAATTTTATGAGGCTTATGCCTTAACTACCTTGGCTGGAGAAATAACAGATCGCACTTTTTTTGTCGCTGATCTTTCGAAAGGTCATCTCTTATTAGCTGACGATATAGGGCCTGCGTTGGCAATTATATACCTTNTCATTGTCATGATTGCCCTACTATATTCTGACGAAGCGGTAGCCTCCTCAGCCATTTGGTTGGTGGCGTAATTGGCATCCATATCCAAATCCGCCTCTCTTTCTGGCGGCACATCCTCCTCATTGTTTTATGAGTTGGCCAATTGACCTTGCACATGTCTTAGCAATTCTTGCATTGCAGGGTTTTGTCGAAAGATGACCCTTATGTTCACAACGACAATGGCTAGTTTCCTAGTGAGCCTTGCCGCTAGCCTAGGCCTACTCCTCAAGCTACCTTTTCGGTAGAGAACTGCTGGAGCGGCTGACCATGTCTCCTGGCTTATCGGGGCTCTTTGCAATGATGCTTCCTCACCGAGGCGTTCTCTAGTCCACCTAGGTACAGTTTCATCCTCTGTCGAACTCATGGCTGCACTTCCTCGATAGATAACCATTTTTTGGCTCTGTTCCTGGAATTGTTTTCCTTTACTCAAGGATTTAGCAGAGTTCCTTTTGAGTTGCCTCTTTCAACACCTCAGCCATGCTCCGTATCTCTTTTTTTCAAGAACTTTACCTTTTGTTCAAATGCTTTATCCCACGAGGTACTCATGGTTTAGCTATTCCAAGTGTTTTCTACAGACGGCGCCAATCTATTAACACTCAAAAATGGCACCAACAGATGTCAGGTCCACTCAACTCAATAAGGGCAAATTTCATTGTGTTTAGATCGTTGATTTGATCAAACGATGGAATGGACGCAGGAGATGCTCCTTCGATAAGAAACTAAACAGTTTAGGCACCGGGAAAGTGACCAAAAAGCTTGCAAACGAGTAATTATACTCTAGCCCATGCACAAACACAACTTTTGCAAGTAAATGATAAAAGAGAGTAAAAATGGACACAATTAAATGGCAAGAAATGTATGGAGTTGTATTTATTTTTCCCTCCAAAAATGTGCCAAAAATTAGTATGCCCATTCCTTATTCTTTTTTCTCGGGTTTTTTTCCCATGTTTCTCTATATGTGTTGTTTCTATTGTTCCACACATCTCTCTTTTTCCTTCTATAAGGGGAGGGTATTTATAGAGTTTGGGGATGACGTGGTGGCTGTTGGATCCGAACCACGTGCCCCTACCTCCTTCTTCTATACATCACATCATTTTTACACATGCATTTATTACATTGGTAAAGAATCAACCGTCCTATATTTCTAGGCTGAGATTCCTAATACAAGATAAAGTAAACATTCGATCAATTTTTAATAAAGATATTCGCTAAGTTGACAGAGATGGCAGCCTTTTCATCTCTTAGGGTTTCAGCCTCATCTTTCAGAACTTTGGCTGGTGGTGAACATAGGGATTTCAGCATAGACCCTTTGTCAGGGCCTTGGCAAATGCTCGGTCGAGTGGCACCTCAACCAAAATAAGAACTTCAGCTCTGTAGCCTTTGTAATCTTATTGCTTCGTTTTTTCGTATGTTTTGGAGCTGGCTCTTTTGATGACATTAGTGGTGTTTCCATGTGTTGCTTTTTGATAGGCAACTTAATATGGGGAGTAACAATGCCTTGATTATTTAATAATCAGTTTTAGATAATTAGATTGCATGATTTAAAAAAAAAAAAATGCATACAATTGTTTCCAAAAGTTCACCGAACTGGATTTTAGAGTATGGCTTGATATATCTAAAATCTTGTTAAAGGCTATGAAAACCAAAATAATCGAGATTTCAATCCAACAAAAACTTAGATGAATAGGTATATAATGCAGAATTAAAATTAACACCCAGTAATAAGCAACATGTCGCTAATTATTGTTTCTACAATTTAAACTGAAACTCTTTAAAAAATCACGCGTCATTGTGTTTGTGTTATGTACAAATTAGGTATTCTAAAAGATTTTGTTTCCCATTATAAGACAAAACCAACTTCAACTTTGTCAACTGAAAAGCAATTTGATAAAGATCAATTATTATTTCTTTGCGACCTTTCCAAATCAGTCAGCATAAGTGGACATACTCAATTAACTCGAAAAGAACCTAGCGATGGTGGCAGTGGGAGGGTTGGCCATTGCCACAAAAGCTATTGGGGCCAAACAGGTCTGATGAAAGTTCAATAGAGTTGTTCTATTGAGAGATTATGTAATTAAAAGTCGTATACCATTATGGGGAAAAAGTGGATAAATTTTTTTAATTTAATAAAATGTGTTGTTAAAAATTAAATTGACAAAATTTGATCAACTTATAACTGTCTTCACTAACCTACCTGCAGAGCTTGTTAGAGCACATTTCACGATTTATCTCCCTTATAAAATTTTAGGGACGGGGATAGGAACCCTCGAGGTTGGGGTTGAACCATGATTTTTTTTTTTTAAATTAAAATGTCTTCGTATCAGGACGATGTTCTCTAGCCTTCCACATAATTCATCATCTTTCTTTTGGCCTTCGCAAACTCACGCCCCTGTTTGTGGTCATGTCGTCGAGCCTGCCATGGCAGCCTTTAATACCGGCAAAAACTAAGCGCTTCAATTACTATCGCAAAACCCTCAAACCAAATTTCGTTCGTATTCACCAAGCGGGGAGTATTCAGGCCTTCAGGCGCAGCGACCTTGATGGGTTCGCCAAGCGCGTGACCTCCGGCGAGGCCTGGAGGGACGTGTGGAGGAGTGCTAATGATGGGTTCGAGCAGCTCGTGTACGAGAGCAAGAAGACAGCTGAGCGTATTAACAGGAGATATGCTGTCTCGGAGAGGTTCTCGGAGGTGACAAATTCTGCGGCAGACCGTGCCCGTGAACTCGACCGCGAGTTCGGAATAACGCAGCGCTGGCGGACTTTTTCTCTTGATTTTAGTAGAAATTGGCCGAGGGTCTGTCAGTGGCTTATTGCTAGCAGCCATATTCTGAATTTCTTTAGAATCTTATAAGATGATGTTTCTTTAATTAAGTTGGAATTTCAGTTGGTAATATAGTTCTGTTACTCGTTGTCTTTGCAGTACAGGAGGCAGTTCAGTAATTTTCTTGATACACCGTTAGGAAGGAGTTTTGCTGTAAGTATAATTCACATTTTTGTTAGGCCTATCTTGTTAGAAATATGGTTGCATGTGTTTTTTGATTACGTTTTAGTGTTGTACATTCATACTTCTCTATATCTTGATAAAATTTGAAATTTTGGAAGGTAAAATGTAGCGTGATCTTTCTAATTTAGAAAGACAATTATAGGTTTGAAATGACCACGATATTCTTTGTTGTGAAAGCGAGTTAATTGGGTTTGAAAATGACAACTTTCTCATTGTATGAGGACCTCGTTCTCTAAAGTCGATAAAAATACATTGTTAACTATGAAACACTGGTATAATTTCTGACTTGTATGAAGCACTGATAGTATTTTCTAATTAGTTAGTTTCAGACAGACCGAACCATAATTATATTCTAAGGTTTCCGTATCTGAAAAGGAGATTTTGCATTAACATCAATTGAAAGCATTCTCTGGTTGTCGGATGGATGTAGATCAAAATTGGGTTTTTTCAATGTATGGACTATAAATTCATTAGCTAGGATCATCAGGATTGTTCTTTCGGAGTGTTATGACTACTGGATTGAAAACCTTTCAGTGTTGGTTCTCTACATTCTAAATCTGAATATAACTTTGTGCAGACAATCTTCTTTGTATGGTTTGCTCTGTCTGGATGGCTATTCCGGTTTCTGATATTCGCCACGTGGGTACTGCCATTTGCCGGTCCTCTCCTAATTGGGGCTGTGGCCAACAATCTTATCATTAAGGTAACATTGTTTGACGTTATCATCCTCTTTTGACTTTCTTATCATTTATTGGTCATGCAAATGCAATAAATTGAATCAAGTGGTGTGTAAGTGCATCTTGAATAAATTGCCCTGGATATGGCACGAATGCCCAGGATTGTAACAAGTTGCTTAATATCAGTGTGCTAAAAAGATAGGACATTGCTGACTGACCAACTATTGTTTGAGTATTTCTTTTCAGTTTTCCGTTGCTTATCAATGTCTAGGTTTTTCATTCATCTCAAGGAAGTTCATTTTTCTGGCTTTTGTGGATTTTTCTCTGTGAAAGATTTGTAAGTGCGACATTTGCTTATCAAAAATGTTCTGTTGGCAAAAAAGAGGAAAGAAATCCATTTACCATTTTGCACAGTTTTTAGGTGTAAAATGCCAGTGTTCAACTGTATTCACTCTTCGCAGCCTCGGCCTGTTTCATCAAAATATCTTTATATGACTAGTACAAATTTGTCATTCATGTTATAGTTTGTTTCCCTCAGTTGCCTATTATTCAGTTTTCAGTTTGTGACTTGTCTGTCTAGCACAGCTTAATCAAGCAAAAAGTCCTCATAAATGTTCAACTATATATCTTATCCAACATATATTGTCACATTTGTTTTGATACTAATCACAAATTAAATTCCAAATAAATTGATTTTAAATAGGAAATACAATTGGTATTTAAATGACCAGTGAAGACATTTTAGCCTTGGATGGCTCTTATAATTTAATGTCTGAGTGAAGCTCCATTTTTTATGACATGCAAATGGTAATAAGTTTAATATTTTTCTGGAATTTTCATGCGGAGAGCTGCATTTTATATGGTGCCATATAAAATACGTCTGCAGCATGCTCTATTTCTGTAGACCCTGGTAGATATTATTTTTACGGTTCTACCACAGCAAAAGTTCCCCTAAATTTAAATTAGTTATTTTCTTGTATTTAGCTTTGTCATCCCCCTTTTTTTTGGTTATTTGCAAGCTGATGTTTACTTAGATCCCTAATCATGGAAATGATCCAATATTAATTAGTATGAGCACGTATGATTCATGTGTACTAATTTTTCTAAGCAGGGAGAATGCCCATCATGTAGGAGGCAGTTTGTTGGATACAAGAGCCAAACAGTTCGCTGTGCAAGTTGTGGAAACATTGTATGGCAGCCACAGGGTGACTTCTTTTCAAAAGGCAGCCGAGGTACCAGTTCCTCTTCGAAAAAGAGTAAACCGGATATCATTGATGTTGAATTTGAAGAGAAATGAACGAAGATCGACAGATGGCTTTGATGTCCTCTACATTAAGTATTCATATGCAATGATGTCATACTAAAACACAATGGAATGCATTTTTATTTTTTTTGAAACACTAATTACTTTTGGTTCATATCCAGTTGTTATGTATCGTAGGTAGGATATGACGTCTTAATATTTGTAGGCTGAGAAATGAAAGTAACATCACTTTTGTTGTACAAATTTTTCATCATGAGCAATTGTGGAATATTTTTTCTTGTTTTTGGATTGCTTAATTGCAATTTTATCTAATTAAGGTTCTTTTGCAAAGTAGATCTCAAAGTGATCTCGAACCTGGGATCTTGGAAATATGACATTACGGTGCTAGACGAGTGAAAGTAATCATCCTCGTGCCTTTTATACCAATAGGGGCTGGCTATCTATAAGAGATTAAAAATGAGATTAAAAATCGTTGATATCCAGATTCTCGACTGCTTGTCTATAAAATGCAGCTTGATAACCATTGTCTGTGACTGAAAAAAGAGTATTTTCGATGTTCAATCTCCTCCATGCTGACAACCTTGTCCGGGAAAGAGGAAGGATTAACTTCCTTGCTCTTGTAGTGCTTGTTTGATATTGCTTTTAAGTCTTATAAGCAACATCTCTGCAAAATTTGTGCATAAAGTTGTGGATTAATATAAAATTTGACCAACATATAAGTAATTTTAAGCTTTGCCAAACATAAAATATATAACCTAGACCCATGACAAGGGGAAAAAAGGGTGAACAAATTGACCAGCAAATTCTCTTACGAATGATCAATATGGTAACTACAGTTTTCTATTTTTAGATAGCATGATTAGGGCTCTTGGGGATCTCCAGTTTCTTGTGGGAGCAAAAATAAAAAATAAAATAAAATTTCCTTGCAACTAAGCCCCTGTGATTTGTATACAAACCGTCTCTGATTCACAATCACATTGCAAAAAACACTTTTAAGTGAAAGGCAACTTATTTGTGACCTGACTATGGCAGTAAAATACTACATTACAATGATAAAACGCAGCAGTAAAACTGTAGAAGTGGTGGCACCATGAGCCAAAAAACACAGTGGAACTAGATAAATGAGTAAACCAGTGAAAGCACAAATTTTACGTAGTTCACCAGAGATGGAGAAATAAATTAAATAAAGGGTGGGGTGGAGGGATATTTTCTTGAAAAGGAAAGGTGATTGTTATGTAAGTTTGAGTGCATGAAAATGGGAAGCAAGTTTACAACTTACCCTGGAAACCCAAATTAGGTTCTTCCTTTCTCTACAAAAACATTTCGGAAATATAAAAAGTTACGATTCAAGAAATGTTTACACCTGATATCAGTTAGCATAGGAAACCACTTCCCTTGGGGGCGCTCTACCTCTATGTAAGATCGACGATCGGCATGGGATTACTTATAAGGCCATCTCAACACTTAGCCTCAAAATCTCTGATGAATTAATAAGGTTACACGGCGGTCACCACGGGCACAACCTCCCGAGGTAGTTAAAACTTCCCACCCCGAACGTGGGGATAATGGGAAGGCCAACGTGTGACACATGGCAGCACAACCATCCGGCTCCTGCTCAGCTTCCGACGTCAATAAATACCTTCTAAGGGCAACAGGTATGATTTGATTGCACATTTTTTAGCCTTCTGAATTCCAAACTTATTTTCTCCTAACGCGCCTACTGATTTTCACATCGGAGGTAAAACGGGGGAGAAAGTCCCGCCATCACTTTTCTAGTTACACTCGCCCATCAGACTAGTAGAAACGCCAAAGGCCGCCAGGCAGATGAGGATGCATTATTCCACCACCATTTCATTCTGCCTGGCGGCCTTTGGCGTTTCTGCTACTTTGATGGGCTAGTGTAACCTGAAAAGTGAGGGCGGAGCTTTCTCCCCCGTTTTACCTCCGGTGTAAAAATAAGTAAGCGCGTTAGGAGAAAATAAGTTTGGAATTCAGAAGGCTAAAAAATGTGCGATCAAATCATACCTGTTGCCCTTAGGAGGTATTTATTGATGTCGGAAGCTGAGTGGGAGCCGGGTGGTTGTGGTGCCATGTGTCCCACGTTGGCCTTCCCATTATCCCCACGTTCGGAGTGTGGAGTTTTAACTACCTCGGGAGGTTGTGCCCGTGGTGACCACCGTGTAACCTTATTAATTTATCAGAGATTTTGAGGCTAAGTGTTGAGATGGCCTTATAAGTAATCTCATGCTGGTCGTCAGTCTTGCATAGAGATAGAGCACCCCGAGGGGGGGTCGACGGTTTCTTATAGTGGTAGATCACCCTGGGGTATCAACATGTTCCTCATGGTCAGGATGGATCCTAAGTCAGGTGCGAGAGGGGGTATATCAACCAGCTGTTGAATTTGAGCTTTTAGAGTAGAGGAAACATCTACTTGACTATTGAAAAGGAGAATTTGAGGGTGCCGCCAATTGGTATTGAAAGGAAACCGACCTGCTGAAGGCTGGGCAAAGAAAAACCGAGATCTCTAACCATTATTCGAATTCCTGAACTTAGGAAATAGCAAAGGGACCCTAGCGGTAAAAAAGACAAACGCATTGCACTGTGCTAGTTCATGCATCTCAAAGACACACCTAAAGAGGTCTATGGAAAGCGAAATTTGCCTCCTAAGGCAAACATACAAGAAATAGAGTGCTTTTTTTCCAAGCACTGGGGTTTATTTAACTAGGAGTAAGATGAAATTCATTGAAAATCGACACAAAGAAAGGATGAATGGGTAGCCGGAAACCACAATCCATGATGTCCTTGTACACCGCTATCTCGTGGGGATCGGACCCAGGGAGCCTCTCTTTGGGGCCTGGGGCTCTATAGATGTAATCGTCGACGGGATCATACCTAGCAAGACATTTCTCTAACTTAAGCGGGGAATTATAAAGGCTATAACTTTTTGAAATTTCAAAGGGGACGATCTCACCAGCTGGATCTCGCTCGATTTCTAAGTATTGATTTGGAGACTTGGTGGAGCCAACATGTCCCTTGGGGGAATTTGAAATAAAAGCTTGAGAATTAACTGAAAGGGTTTGGCTATCAGACTCAAATGGAAACCCATCGGACGAAGGGAGAGAGGTCGAAAGACTTTGACCGATCGAACCTCCGATCGACCTCCCAGATGCACAACGGGGGGTTGGTCGATCGACCAGCCTCGTCGGACCGATCGTCCGACCAGCCGGTCGGATTTTTTCTGGCGTCGACCGGCCCCCCATCATTACTTTCATCGGAAGAAGAAGAAATGATAGTCTTGTACATGATTTTGCAAAAAATGAAGAAGAAGAAATATGAGATACCTTGGAGGAGAGGAAATCTTGGAAGAGAGGAGACACTAAGATGTAAAAAAAAAAATGGCTCACATGTGAGGGACCACCCCCTTTTATAGGCAAAAGGGATTCAAAATTTTTGGGGAGAAAATTCCCTCCAAGATCATGCCCAATGATTGGGTGTCAAATGTACAGTGAAATAGCCGTCCTGACCAAATCGCACTACTCGACTTGTTCATTCGAGTTAATTTTATTTAAAAAAAATCCATTTAAAGGAAGTTGCTACACCTTTGACCTATATATATATATATATATATATATATAGAGTAGGGGGGCTAATGATATCAGTTAACATAGGAAATCGCTTTCAGAGATAGGCAATGTAAATCGTGACACGCCGATGCGAAACTGTCGACCCCTCCCGGGGCCGCTCTACCTCTACAAGAGACCGTCGACCCCCCGGGGTGCTCTTCCTCTACAAGAGATCGTCGACCCCCCGGGGTGCTCCTCTACAAGAGATCATCAACCCCCAGGGTGCTCTATCTCTACATGAGACCATCGACCCCCCAGGGTGCTCTACCACTATGAGAAACCGTAGACCTCCCCTTCCCTGGGGGCGCTCTACATCTATGCAAGACCGACGACCGGCATGAGATTACTTATAAGGCCATCTCAATACTTAGCCTCAAAATCTCTGATGAATTAATAAGGTTACACGGCGGTCACCACGGGCACAACCTCCCGGGGTAGTTAAAACTCCCTACCCCGAACGTGGGGATAATGGGAAGGCCAACGTGGGACACGTGACACCACAACCACCCGGCTCCCGCTCAGCTTCCAACGTCAATAAATACCTCCTAAGGGCAACATGTATGATTTGATTGCACATTTTTTAGCCTTCTGAATTTCAAACTTATTTTCTCCTAACGCGCCTACTGATTTTCACACCGAGGTAAAACGGGGGAGAAAGCCCCGCCCTCACTTTTCAGGTTACACTCGCCCATCAGAGTAGCAGAAACGCCAAAGGCTGCC